GAAGGCACCATTGCCCCCGGAGGCTCCGAAGTTGAAGTTCCAAAACCCCGAAGCCCATATCTGCAAACGGCAGGAGATCGTCGTCTTGGCCAAAGTGCTGGCGGCAGAGGTGAACTATGGTTACGAGGATATACAGCGGATCGAAGCTCCCAGTGTCTTGGGAGGATAACGGGCGATGCTTAAGCTTTTTCGGCTGATGTAGGGGTTGCAAAGGTTGGTGTTTGACTTGTACCATATGAGCTTCTGGGAATCCGTACAATCAGGGAGCATCTTGGGATCTGAAGGTTCTGTAACATGTGATTTAGGGTCTGTGTTTGAGGGGCAAGTGCACAAACCGGATGGAGCAATGCGTTAAGGAGGGTTTTCTGCAGAGTGTCGTGGGTTGTTGACCCGCCGCGGATTGCACGTGAAGAACTTAACGAGGCTGGAAGCTTGTGCTATGTGAGGTTGAGCCTGTCAGAATTCCAAGGAGCAAGTGCGTCATACCTTGCAATGTTACACATGCTCGACATGCAGCTTGCTTCAGCGATGAAGTGTGTTGGTCCTGAAACAAGTGCTGGCTATACCGGCTGCACGCTAAGCCTGGCCTGGAACATCCGCGGTAGTAACCCTTCATGTACTTGTTCTTGTAACCCGAAGAAGCAGCCCTTATAGTACCCCTTACAGAAGGCATCGGGTTTTGTGAGCGAGTGCCAGGACTTTCAGTGCCTGGAGCTTCTCAGCTTCGGGAGCTGCTCGGAGAAAGCCCCGTGTTCCTATAACTTTTCCCATTTCTATATCTCCTCCGGCAGCCAGCGTTAGAAGCTAGGCAGACATTGTTACAGAATGGTATATTCTATTATGTCATTTTTTGTATTTTAGCTATGTTCCACCAAGCTAAAGCTAGTCCGGAAGCTTCGAGCCGCCAGGTTGCTCAGATCCGGGAGCCGAGGGTCCAAGCCAGACTGCCGAGAGCCTCGGCAGCTTGAAACACTTCTATATATAAATATATATACACATACATATATAAAACAGATGTATATTATACTTGTTATATTTTTTTATGTTATCCCGGTGGCAGCTTGGGAAACTTTATAAAATTTCCCTTGTGGTTACTATAGAGGTACCTATTCATAAATACTTTTCAGGGCCCCAAGCCTATATATATATTATACATGTTATGTCATATGTTGACATAATTACATACTGAATACTACTCTTTATAGCTTACATATCATAATACATCAGCTGGCGGCGGTACCTACAGTCAGGGTAGAGGGGGTTAGCGGGGGGGGGGGATGGAGTGCTGAATGTTCAGTATCCCTTTCACACCTTTCTCTGTTAACTGACTATTGACTCTAGGGGAATCTCGTAAGTAGGATTGAAGGCCCGGCAGCTGTTAAAATCGTGCTATGGTGCCTCCAAAGTCTTTTGAAGCAACGAAACACACCAAGCGAATTTGCTTCTAGCCTCCGTCGCTCTTGAACTGCTTGCCTATAATGCAACGTGTTGAAGTCTCCTTCTTGTCGCAATACCTGGAATTTCGGACGTCCGACACTGTTGTGAAGATGAGGTCCTACTGCAACCAACACCACAACAAAAACAAAGACAAAAACAAAGACAAAAACAAACAAACACACACACACACACACGCACAAACACACACGCAAAGACACACACACACACAAAGACATACACACACACACAAAGACATAAAAACAAAAACCCACACATACACACAAAAACAAACACACACACACACAGACCACACACACACACACCCACACACCCACGCACACACACACACGCACACACACACGCACACCCACACACACACACACACACACACCCACACACCCACGCACACACACACGCACACACACACACGCACACACACACACACACACGCACACCCACGCACACACACACACACACACGCACACCCACACCCACACCCACACCCACACCCGCACCCGCACACGCACACGCACACGCACACGCACACGCACACGCACACCCACACGCACACACACACACACACACACCCTGAACGCCTTTCGAACTCTGAAAACCTCGACCCTAAACCCCTAAATCCTGCAAGGCCTTCGAAAAACATCTTCAACCCTCAGCAAGTCTCTCGCGTCCCAAGGCTCCCCATGTCTTGGGCCATCAGCTCGAAGCCAGCAGAGTCCTTCTGGCGCGTGGCAACAAACTACACCATAGCATACTGTAGTTGATGGTTTAAACCCTGCATTACCATTATAGGACCCGAAACTGCGGGAAATATGGTATATTTCCGGACTATGGGTAATGCAGGATGTGTATCATCAACCATAGTTACTCGGGCGTGCTACTAAGGGCATAGATACCTGCTATACGATAGCACAGACGCTGCATCGAGCATACTGTCGTGTGCGACAAAGCCACCGAAAGAATTCGGATTGAACCTCAAGATGCTGCTAGATCCATTGCAATAGCTCACCACATACAGCAGAGACGGAAGGGTAAAGGGCAAACTGGCTCTTTGGTAAGGGCGGACAGCCTGTGCGGTATCATTGGGATCTTTGGAAGAGCATGCTAGGGCTTTTCAGGGCAGTGCAGTGGTCCAGGAGGTTTCACACCATTGGATTTTCCATTTGATGAGCCTGTCGAAGTACAGGTGTGCTATAATGACTGGCTACTGCCCACTGAACCTCCAAGTGAGGAGTGCCAGCATCGATCTTTTTGAATGAGCACGGTTTAGTGGTTAGGGTTTAGGCAACCCTCTTCAGACGCCTCGAAGGCACTAGCGGGGACTATACCTTGGCCACGACCCAGCTGACCATCCTTGCGCAAGCATTGCGCCACTGGGCCCGCGCGCCAATGTGCGAAAACGTAGGTTGCCTGCCTTTGAGGTGGTCTTAAGTATTTCAGGGGCGCTCCGACACTGTAGTGGGTAAGGCTGTGGAACAATTTGCAGGGTGGTGGGGCACACTTAGCTCCTGAGTGTGTGAAAAAGTGATGACTTGTTAGCTGCAGTGTTTGGGTTTGCTGGCTCCCACCCATGTTTTCATTGGCAAGAAAAACCGACAGCAGGAAACCGGAAACACCCCTCCTCCTTGTTGGTGTGTACATTGGGACACTCCCTAAATCCTACACCGACCATCCCGGTAACATCAATAAACCTTTGGAGTCCTGAGACGTGCACAGAAAGCCTACAGCCTTATCCGAGTGCGCTCCACCAACGAGGGACCCGGGTGTTGAGAAGCCCCCGTCTCAGCAGCAAGCAACGGCGCAGCAGCTCGTATAGGGCTTTTTCCCTTCTACATATAGCTAGTAATTGTAGGGCTTAGGGTTTAGTGTTTAAGATATAGGGGCCGGAATAACAACCGCTGCTGCTCTCAGGGTTCCTCCCTCTTGTTATGTGCACAATCTGCACCCAAGCCGCGTCCTGATCATTTAAGGCCCCTTTACATTGCCGTATCAGGGCCTATAGGGCAAATAGGGTACTGGAGTCTGCGCAGGAACACGAATATTGTTCTCATAGTTCGCACCAAAACCAATTCTGATGTCTAAGGCCCCAAAATTGCTTGGAGGTCGGGGCACCATAGGATCGCGCAGGCAAGGAAACACAGGACGCCTTGGCTCAGCAGATCCAGAGTTTCGGTGTTCAGGGTTGAGGGGTTTAGGGCCCGGGTCTTGTTGAGGTTTGGGTTTAGGGGGTTTACTAGTGGTCTACGATCTCGCAACTCAGACACGGCCAGACGTGGTCTCTCGATTGGCAGTGGACTATACAGGAAGGCCACGGGCTTGAAGCTTCGTTGTTTTTTAGGGTTTAGGCCTAAGTCAGTAGGACGGATTCAAGATTCTGAGAGGACCTGTGGCTTCAGCGTCTCAGCTTTGGGGGTTTTGAAATGGCCTGTGGGAAGTCTTATCGGATGCAGGGCCTGGGGTCGTTCTAAATGCCCCAGAGGCCCTAAAGCCTAGACCATGACACCCTAAACCCGGGATCTCACGAGGTCACTAGGCTTGCGGCGGGCGCTAGCGCTAACCCATGCGAAGTGTTCCTCACTGTGTTAGCGATCATCCACAGTGAAAAGAACCCCGAGCCACTGGGACATCTAATTCTCGCTGCACCGAGAGTAACGTTGTATTTCTCAATGTCTTTTGCAGAATACATACCAAACCCATCGCTGAATGCTGCCGTTAGCTTTTCAGACAAGTTGCCGACTACTTTGTGCTGTAAAGCCATGGCTGTCGCAGGCCCATGGCTAATGCTCACGCAGCTCTTGGTTCTGCTAGGGCTTACACGACAACACGACAATGAATTGGTTGTCTCTGGGGGTATGGTTTTTTTCAAAAGCTTGGACACGTTGGGCTCGTTGGCTGCTGGGTATCACTTTGTCAGGCTCTGAAATTTCCACGGAATTGGCGAGATTCCATGTGTTGATGAAGTTTCCAACTTCGGTAAAGGCGTTCATGTATCTTCTCTTGGCCGTCACGCTGCGGTAGGCAAACTCAAATTCGCCACGGCCTTGGTTGGGGAGGGCTGCTGGCGCAAAATCAGACTTCAGGTTCCCTTAAGGTTTGCTTTGAAGGCTCTGGGGTTGCCTAAATACCCCGCTATCGCTCAACTCACCCTGGCAGCGCTGCAAAATACATTTCAAGCAATGATTTGCAGTGTCTCCAGTTAAAGATTCTGAAATAATCAAAACTGCATTTATCCACAACTCCCTCGAAAAGCAGATGCCCAAGAAAGCCTAGTACCTCTTCCTTCAGGAAGATGCAACACTTTGTTCTATCGCAAGATACTCATAGGCAATCATGGTTCGAAGCTTCTCCTGAAACCACGAACATGCGCCATCTTCGTCATTTTATCATCGAGATCGCTTCATGCTGAAAAGCAAAAACGTTGAAGGCCAAACTGATCACTGCATGGCACTGTTGGACTACTTGGGCCCGGTTTGCTGCGATCACATGGGAAATTGGCTTCCCCATTGGCTTTCAACGCAAGCTCATTCAGTTGTGTTTCTTTTGCGCCTCTATGTCGCCGGGTCGGTAAGCAGGAAGCACACATTTCGGCAGGCATATCTTGCATCAGCGACAGACGGGTGCCCACGAAATCCTTGGTTGCTGGAACTGTCGATGCGCTGCAGCTCGTGGCTGGGAGCCATCTCTCTTATTTTGCTGACAAAGCTTAGGCTTACGTGCTCCACCTGTCCTCCCTTTTCCTATCTCCGCCAGGTTTGAGGGGGAGGGCCAAAGGCGCTGTGCAAGCACGCGCCCGCCGATTCTCTCTGCTTCTCGCGCTCCGTACTCAGGCATGAAAGTTTGTGTGTGTGTGTGTGTGCGCCCCTCCTGTGCCAAAGGATTGAAGACGGAAGATCTAACCAACAAAAAGCACGGGGAAACTGGATGGCCTGGGCCAACGAAGGCCCATCCAGTTAGCCGTGAAAACGTACCTGCGATGTAACCATCTAGCAAGAACAGCATTCTTCTAAGTAAGAATGGGCGACTGATCTGCAAAAGTGTGTGTGTGTGTGCAACTCCTGTTCCGGAGGATGTAGGCGGCATTGGTGCTCAAAACAGCAGGGGGGCAGAGGAGGCCCATAGAGCTCTGCCCAACGAAGCTCTCTATGGTGACCTCAGGATACTGGGACTGAGCATCCCAGCATACCTGCATTGGCAATGGCAACCAGGCTAAGCCAAAACCTGGCAAGCCGATAAGTTGCAAAGTAACAAACTGGCACAAACAGCATCCATCTAAGTAAGGATGACTGGCTTGCAAGTGTGTGTTTCCCGTCGTGTCGATCTCTCACGCATGATGTCATCCTGCCTTTACTTGGGAGCCTGCATGATACTGGTACTTTGGCTCGTGCTGTTCGGAAAGCATGCCGGCAATCATGCAAGAAGTTTCACGAGTGCACAACAGCAAGGAGCGGCCCTTGGCTAATGGATGCCCAGCTGCGCAGATGCGCTCGAATCTGGTGCCTTCTGCCTGCACAGCCGCCAGAACGCAAAGTGGCACAGGTCTCGAAACATCAAAGGCTTGTCGAGCCCCAACATCCAAAACGAGTTTGACAGTTTGGCTGTCGGAACCTTAGATGGCATACGGATCTACTCTCCAACCCAAAGAAAAACACAAGCCTAACAAGGTATGAGACCACCTAGTTCAAATACCACGTGGCCTAGTAAAGGTAAGACGTTTCCGTGCTTTTTGCAACGTTAAGGCCAAGTACACCGAACCCCTGCCACAACTGAGCGACTGCATCTCGGAGCTCTTGTTTAGACGTTCACAAATGGGGTTTCCGAAAATAGGGGACCCTAATATAGTACCATAAATAGTAGGATCCTTATTACAAGGACCCCAAAATAAGGTACCCCAATTTTCGGAAAGTCTCAAATTTACGATATCACCAAGAGAGGCGAGGAATTCGAAGTCCGACCTGCTTCGTGAGACATCGACGTGAGTGAGGAAAGACCGTGTCTTTAGCACCGGATGCGCTTTTGTCTCTTAAGTGTCCCTACGCCTACACCCAAAACCCTAGCTTTTGTCTCATAAGTGTCCCTAAACCCTACACCCTAAAC